ACTTATTAATCTCTTGTATGGATAAAGTAGCCAATAGCTAACAATTCCCTAGTGGGTAGACCAATCACATATCTTATTTCATTTTTTTGTTTGCCGAAACACATATTTTATATTATAGCTTCTTTTATTCATCATGTCAACTTTATCAGTCCAACAGCCTTTTTTGAGGGGAGAGAAAATGGAACAGTACAAGGAGAAGCCCAGAAAACAGAGGACAAAGAACAATACATTATTAGAACTACTCCAAATTTTCTTATGACGTTCTTAAAAATATATTTGTATATACTCTTCATACTAAAGTATTCTTCTTTGCAAGAGATAATGATGATAAGGCAGATTAGAATATCTCATCAGTTGAAATGCAGACGAAGGAATGTGGATCTCAACATGATGGCATAGAGAACATAATTCAAGATCATTTCTCAACAAGGTCTAAAGTGGTTTATGAAACTCCAACTAAACCAATTTTTGCTAACATTACTAATTCCCAAACGCTTTACAAAGAAGGAGGCTTTGAGGTTAATCCAGCTTTATTTGCAAATCATACTCTACCGGAAGACATTCAATATTTCTCAACCAATGGGGAAAGAACTCTTTGTCCCAAGTCTTGCTAAGAATCTAACCCACAAGCTTTATCATGAATTCAGAAGAGGTGCGTACATGTTTCATCCATATATAATGTCCTTTACTATATCATTTACATTGAATCAACTAACATATTTTTGAAAATATTGAAGAAGATATTTCAGCCTTAGAAGATATTCAAGGGAGATCCAAGATTTAAATGTGAATATTGTAGAGCTATGCTATGGTTCAATAAGAGAATTAACAGATCTCCATCTAATGAATAGCCAAGTTTTTCAATATGTTACTCCCATGGTAAGGTGTCTGTACCTCATTTAGAGACTCCTCCTGAACAGCTCCGTAAACTTTTCTTTAACAAAGGTAAACCAAAATCTAATTAGTTCCAATCAAGCATTAGGGCATATAATAATATGTTCTGCTTCACTTCAATGGGGGGGATGATTAACCATTCTCTCAACAGTAATGGTGGGGGACCTTACCTAGTTGTCATATCTGGATAGAACCACCACTATATAGGTAGTTTATTACTTGAAGAAGGAGTTGATCCAATATACTCTCAATTATACATTTATGATACGGAGCATGAAATAGCAAATCAGCTTTCAGCAATCAGGTATGTTTCTTTTACAAGATTAATAGTACCATCAATATTTAATATATTTTTTTACCAAAAAATAATTCACCAAAAAAAATAGAGCCAAATATTTGTGATTTGCAATAATGTATGCATTTTAGTATTCTTTGACATGTATAGAAATTTTTTTATGTGTTCCTATTTGCTTTTTCATCATTTTTAAATAATGAATATTTAACAGTAACTATTTTGTTAAAAAAATTATTAACTATTAAACAATTGGTCTATAATACATTACATGTCACATGATTTTTTAATTTTTTTTAACATCTATTTTCAACCTATTATAAAATAAAATAGAAAAAACACTGTTGTTGGTTAGAAGTTAAATCTCACAGCTTATTTTAAATCACATTGGAATTACAGTGAAGTATCTCAAGTGAATGTGACTATAGCACATGAAATCAAAGAATGTCTTGAAGAACATAATTCATTGGTCAAAAAATATAGGCATACATATGAGATATTGAAGAAGGAGATGTCAAGATTTGCTAGATAAGGCAAACGAGCCCTGATAATAGATGTTATAATCTTCTAACATCATCAAAAGTTGCTGCACTAATAGTTGGTGATTTTGACATATCATATCACAAGAGAGTTATTGTTGTGGAAAAATAAGGGAGGCTCAAATGAATATATGAATTTCACAGGTCATACCTACCATTACAATACCCACTGTTATTTCATTTTGAAAATAATGGTTATGATCTAAATATTATGCACTCTACTCAATCTCTCTACCACACAAAGAAGAAGAAAAAATTGACTATTAGAAAATATCTAGCATATAGATTGATGAACAGGAGGAATGAAGAGTCTATTATTTTGCATTTGCAAGGAGATTATTCCAACAATGTATTGTTGATAGCTACACAGTGGTTGAAAGTGATTGATTGAAGTACATCAGAGATCATCAAAAGGAAATAAGAGCAGACCTATACAAGGGAATCTCTGATGCTATTATAATGCATCAATGATTGGAAGAAAAGTTGTTCTTCCATCTTTATTTACAGGTGGTGCAAGCATAGTGAACAATTTCCAGGATGCAATGGCAATTTGTAAATATATAGGTTATCCAGATATATTCTTAACATTCACTTGTAATCCTGCTTGGTTGGAAGTAAAGCGTTACTGTACCAATTATGAGCTTAATCAATCAAATTGTCCGTAAATTTTATCAAAGATACTTAAGTTGAAATTAGATGCTCTCATGAAAGTCATTAGGGAACAAAAAATATTCGGCAGAATTAAGGCAGGTAATCATCAATTGACCAAGTCCACCTCATATTTATTCCAAAATAAAATTCTTTTATACATTTTTATTATTCACAAGGTTGATTTAGAAGTACAAAATTTTTAAATAATTGTTAGGCAATATCTTATTTTATTTTTTTATATTACTTCAAAAATATACACAATTGAGTTCTTAAAAAAGGCATCACCCCGTGCTCATATCATTCTCTTCCTTGAACATGATGACAAGCCCAGAACACTAGAAGATGTGGATAAATTAATATGTACAGAAATACCAAATAAAGAATTAGATCATGAGTTATATGAGCTTGTGGTTAATTACATGATTCATGGTCCATGTGGACACTCTAACAAGAATTCACCTTGCGTGAAAGATGAAAAATACTCGAAGTACTTTCCAAAAAAATATGTCGACAATACAATTGTTGATGAAGAAGGGTACCCTATATATAGGAGGCACAAAGATGGAAGGACTATAGAAAAAAGGGCATACCATTAGATAACAGGTTTGCTGTGCCTTATAATCCATGTTTGCTGAGATTATTTTGGGCTCCTGTTTATGTTGAAAAAACAAACTAGTCAAGAGCAATCAAATACCTTTTCAAGTACATTGGCAAGGGAAATGACAGAGTTGTTGTAAGGATTTACAACAATTCTGATACAAATAACTTAGAAACTTCATTTGATGAAATATCACATTATCTCATTATAGATATGTTTCACCTTGTGAAGCTACATGACGTATATTTGCTTTTGACATTCATCACAGATATCCTTCTGTCGAGCATCTATCTTTTCACTTGCCAAAATAGCAAGTAGTCTACTACTCTGGGAAGTCATCTATATTATCATTACTCGACAAGCCAATGATGAAAGAATCGATGTTCTTAGCATGGATAAGGTTGAACAAATTTGGTGGGCTTGCAAAAAAAAAAACATACATATAAATTCCACAATACTATACTTTTGATAAGAATTAGAGAATATGGAAACTAAGGCAACAAGGATTTGCAGTTGGGAGATTAGCACATGCATCACCATCACAGGGAGAGATCTATTATCTTCGGGTTCTCATCACCAAAGCATGAGGACCTAAATCATATGAGGATATCAAAACTGTCAATGGTATTATCCATCCAGCTTTTAAATCTGCATGTTATGCCCTTGGTTTGCTTAATGATGATCAAGAATTTATTGATGCAATAAAGGAGGCCTCGATCTAGGCATCTGGACATTACTTTAGGAAATTCTTTGTTAGTATGCTACTTTGCTACTGCTTATCACAACCACTTTTAGTTTGGCAGAAATCTAAGCAACTTATTTTTGAAAATATGTTGTATATTTCTAGATCTTTATAGCAGTTATCAGGTAATGACTATCACGTACATTATTGAGCTATCATTATTTTATAGCATGATATTTTTAATTATTAGTGTATCCTTATTAATTAATCTTAATAAACTTTAAGTCATTTCCATTAAATGTAGGAATTCATATAACTGATGATGAAAAGGAGGAAGCTACAATGATTGAAATTGAAAGGTTACTCTAGAGGAATGGAAAATTGTTGAGTGATTTCCCTTCAATGCCAAAGCCAAAAACATAGATATATATATATTGATATAAGGAACCATCTATTATTGCAGGAGCTGAACTATGACAGAGAAAGCTATAGATCTGAATCAGATAAGTTAAGAGCTTCAAATGAGTAATTGAATATATTCAATGAGATCTTGAATGTAATTGACTCACCAAATGAAAATTTCTTTTTTGTTTATGGTTTAGAGGTACTGGGCAGACATTCTTGTGGAATACATTGACTGTAATTATTAGGTGAAGAGGTGAAATAGTGATAAACGTTGCATCAAGTGGGATTGCAGCAACGTTATTACCATCTGGCAGAATAGCTCACTCTAGGTTTGCAATACCAATAGATATAACTGAGGAATTAATGTGCAACACATCACACAACTCACCAATGTCTAACCTAATCAAAAATACAAAGTTATTCTGGATGAAGCTCCTATAGTTAGAAGATACTGTATTAAAGCTATTGATAGAACATTTAAAGATATCATGAAGTGTGACCATCCATTCAAGGGAAAGTGTGTTGTCATGGGTGGAGACTCGAGACAAATATTGCCTATCGTTCTGAAAGGAAGCCATGCTGATATTGTTGATGCATCAGTCAATTCATCTGAACTGTGGGGTCATTGTAGAATGTTTCAACTTACATGCACCTATTATCAAGTGGAGATCATGATAACAAGTTGAAAGTCCAACAGTTCTTAGGGTGGTTGCTTCAAGTTGGTGAAGGTAAAATAGGACTACCAAATAAAGGTATTGCGAATATTGAGATTCCAAGTGAGATACTAATCCAATCATCTGACGATCATATTCAATCCATTGTGTCTGTTACTTATCTAGACTTAAAATACCATATCAATAATTCTGAATACTTGACCAATAGAGCAATCCTTACACCAAATGTTGAGGTGGTTGATGAAATAAATGATCTGTTTGTTCAATGCTCAATGGTGAATATGTAGAGTGCTTTAGCTCAGATTCAATAACTGCTACTGATCAAGATCTAGAGTTCCAAGAATTATACACTACTGAATTCTTAAACACCATCAACTATTCTGGTCTTCCTCCTTATAGATTAGCATTGAAAGTAGTATGTCCTATCATGCTTGTCAGGAACATTGATCAAGCCTCTAGTCTTTGTAATGGGACAAGACTTCAAACTACTTTCTTTGGTAAACATTTCATCAAAGCTATGGCATTGAATGGTATAAGTATTGGTCAGGAAGTCCTCATCTATCGCATGGATATGAATCCATCTGAAACTTAGCTTCCATTCACAATGGTACGGAGGCAATTTTCCCTCATTATTTCATTTGTAATGACCATAAAAAAGAGTCAAGGACAATCAATGACTAATGTTGGTTTATATCTTCCAAGGCCAATATTCTCATATGGGCAACTATATGTAGCAATGTCAAGGGTTAGAAGAATTGATGGTTTAAAGGTGTTGATCATTGATTTGAATAATAAATCAACCAACATTACTATTAATGTTGTATCCAAAGAGATATTTCAAAATGTTCATTGTCATTAGCAGACTAGGTGTTGTCACAGAACTTGAGTCCTATGTTCACTTTATGCCATATGTTTCATGATTAACATTAGTCATTATTTTAATGTATCTTTTTAGTTATGTTAAATAGCTCGTAGCTCAATAACACCATGTCATTGTATTATTAGCATCTAGTTATTTAAAATCAAAATATTATCAAATGCTGGTGGGAAGTAAAAATTATGAAACATATTTTCCATCAGAATTTTTAGAATAACTAATATGAACTCCACCTGAAATAAAAAATATATAAAGAAGGTTATAAATTCAACTCCATCTTAACCTTCCATATATACAACTTGAACACGACTTCTTTAGCATTAAAAACAATATAACTCTATCACCAAGTAGGCAATATTACAAAACATAAATTCATTTTTTTTTTAGAATGGGAACTTCATCATAATTATGGCAAAATGAAAAAAAAAAGGGGGGGGGCTAGGTGATCTTTATCAAAGAATTTGTTTACAAAACATATACACGACAGGAAAACTTTATCATTTACATATTTGAGGGAGGAATTATTGATTGTGTGAATAAGAATTATGGAAAAAATGAAAGAATGAGCTAAGATGATCTTCATCCAATTCTGCTTAGTCCCACATAAAGATATTATGTTCAGCATTAATCATATTTACTGTTCTCAAAAAGATTTTCTATTCTTAGTAGTTTTGATATTGAATTTAGAATGGACAATCTTGTAGAGTCATAAGAACATGACAAAAGTAGCATTTGATCATACACAAGAAATAAATTTTGAATACACCTACCCTTAGTGTTGCAATAGATTCATACGATGCTAAAGGTAGTAAACAATGATTTCTTAGTTTTATGTGGGTATAATATAAAAAAGATATTGCTAACGCATTACTCTTCTCAAAAAAGCTTATCAGAATTGCTCTATTTTTAATGGAACGCAGTTTTAAAAATGTTTACTTGCCTTAATCACTAATGTGTTCAACGCAATTGGTTATATTTTACAATTTACATTATTTTCATCTCCTATTTAATCAAATTACTTTATTAGTTTACAATACATTTTACACAAACCGCACATCACGCGGGGTATAAACTAGTTTATAATTATAATAATATGGAAAAATTAGTTAATGTATTGTTAATATGCTCTTTTAATTTATTTTTTAATACTTAGTTAATGCTTTCTTAGATTTTGAAGTTTAGTTGAGAAGTGAAGATAAGGATATAATTTAAAATAATAATATCAATAAATAATGTGATATTTAAATTTTAAAATATATATAAAATAGGGAAGAAAAATTTTGTTCCCAGAATGATTAATTAATTAATTAATATGTTATATTAATCAAATTATGATACCCTCTATATTCATTGTAAAATTAATAATTTTTCTTCCTATTTATTTGTCTCAATCTTAATTTTAATTTTGTCCATAAATGTAGTCTTATTCCATATTTTAACATACAATTACAACTAGTTTTTAATAATATCCTTATTAACTATAATTAATATTTAAAATAGCACCTATGACATTAAAATTTAAATCAAGACAAGACTTTAATTATAATGTAGTAAGCATTCTTGCTTTTTCATTAGTATGTGTAATTTTTATTATGTAGTTTGAAAATTAAAATTACAAACTTTTTTTAACAGGCTTCAGGCCGGGCTCAAAATGAAAGATAAGATTGTAACAGGCCACAGGCCAAGTTCAAGTCAATTGGCTGCAAAACAGGCATGGCCTGTTAAGAGCTAGAGGAGGACTACTTGGGAAGGGAAGATATTAAAACTAAGGATTAAAAAATATACCAAAAATTCACACAAGACGGTAAACTTTTTTCGGATCAAATCTACTGATCCAAATTTAAAAAGAACTTAATATCTATCATTGTGACGAATGCTATAAGACGTTATTGGTCATAGTAACTTCATGATTGATAATCTTTGTGATGAGTATAAATGTGTTTGGAAGATAAGTTTTTTTTGAATGCATGCTATTGTATTTGGAAAAAGATTATAAATTATGTTGGGAAGCCAAGTGTTTGTGATAAACTTTAAAAAACTATTTGTTGGATAGCATATTGGATATGCATTGGGTAAAGTATTTTTAAATATTCAGAAATACAAGTCTTCTTTTACAATATGCTTGCATATATAAGGTTTTTTTTTTTAACAGCCTGCTATGGGTTTATATAAAGCATTTGGGTACATATACACATAGTGCGGAAAAATGAATGGCATTTGGAAAGTGAATGTTTGGAATACAAACACCGTAGTTTTTGTTATTTATGGCATTAACAATTAAAAACTCATCCCATATCATTCAATGGAAGGTTATATAGTTTATAATAATTGAAGGTAAAGAATCCTAAGAGAATCCTAAGAGTAAGGAGTTGTGAGCATTCACCCGTGCAATATTCATAATATATAGTCAATAAATACAAAACAAATGTCTGGCCAATGTTATTTTCTCCTAAATAACATTGTTCGGTAGATATGCTGCAAGATAGAGAAAAAGAATTGGGAAATGTTTCATTGTGTAATTTTAATAAATAAAAAAAGGCAGCCATATTGATCAAACAAAATACAATTTATTTCATACTTGTGTTCTGCTTTACACAAATGAATCTTATTAGAGGACTAATAATGCTAGGATACTTTTGTTTTGTGTAATTATTGTTACTATAATAATGTTTTGTTGGATAGGAATTGTTGTGCATTTGTTTCTTGAATCATATTATTGTGTGTTTAAAGTAATATAAGGCTTTGACAAAAAAAAAATATAAGGTTGTATTTGGATTAGTGGTGGAAAAATTTAGAGGCAATGTGTAAAAATACTCATAAACTTATACCTAGTGCACCTACCACCATAACCTTTTTTTGGGTGCAAAGGTACCCATAAACTTGCAAAATAAGAGCAAAAATAACATTGTGGTTAAATTTAACTAACAACTGTTATTTTTTACAATGAGACCCACGTTAATATTATGAAAGTACAAAAATATTCTTAACTCAGGAAATAAAAAAGGTGAAAGAGCAAATATGCCTATAAACTTTTAATCAAAATGTGTCAAATACCTTTCTTTTTATAGAAAATTCCAGATAAAGCCCTTTGAATATATACAATTCCATATTGGGTCCTAGAATTGTGGAAATAACAAAGAGGGTTAATGACCTAATCTGTCATTTGCAAAATGAAGGGGAATGGACAAATTTGACCTTCTCAAATGTAAAAGCAAAAAGAAAGCAATGAAAGTCGAATGACCCACTTATGGCTCTGTAGAGTCATATTGAAGAAAGATGGAGAGAACGTTAGGCGGTGGGACCTTGGAAGGTGGTTGAAGCAAGTAAGGTTAGTAATTTTTCTCACCATAATCTTCATCTCTTCATCCTGGGGTCTGATCACGGTGGTTTTGTTCTTCATTTTATAGGATTGTGATTATGGGTATGGTTGGGTACACGTTCTTGGTCTTGAAATATGAATGAGGTTGAAGAAAGCACATGAAGTAATTTTGTACACCACAATCTTCCTCTTTTCATCCCCTACCATGATCATTTATCAATATGGGTCTATCAACGTTTTTTCTGATAAAGCTTATACAGTAAAATGGGTTACGTATGAAGGTCGAAGCATGCATACTTGCGACGTTTCGTTAGTGACAGTGAAGTTCTTATTTTTATTTGCGTGAGCTGAAGCATTTATCCATAGGGGTTTGTTGCTTTTTAGTAGGGTTTACAATGATTAATGTTGGGGAACGGAGGATTTTTTTTTTGGGGGGAAAGTCGAATAAGACATTGGCTGATTGCATGACATTAAAGCTTGAGGCATGATAGTTATGATAGGGTGGATATTACAGTTAATAGCTAATGTTAAAGTGTGAAACCCTAAACTAAAGTTGTCAATGGATGAAGAGGTTCTGTTATTTATCTTTATTTAAAGAAGTGACAAAATATCATTATTGGTGAACTAACAAAATGATTATTCATTTGTTTCAGCTTAGCGTGCACAATGAATTGAAATATTGGCTCTACTTCTGGGAAGAAATTATTTTGTTATTTTCATGTAGATGGAGAATTTGTTATTAGTCCTGAAGGTCAAGTTAGATATCATGGAGGTAGAGTACATGTAGAAACGATAAAAGATGGAATGATACTTGAAGATTTAAGGGCAACTATATCAGAATGTAGTGGTTATGATGGTAGTAATTGGGACATTAAGTATACTGTCAAGTATGATGAGAGGACATTAATTGATCTTGTTGATGATGGCAAAGTTAGAAATATTTTTGGGCATAATGACATCATTGCGTATGTGTATGTATCGTTGAAAGGCAATGAGACTAAAAGACATAAAATCAATTATCAAGAAATGCAAGTTATAAATTTCTTCTGGTTAAAGTTGTTATTTGTTGTACTAATGTAGTTAATGTGGGAATAGATATTGTTAATATGCTAACAATTGGAGTTATCGTGCAAGCAGAATTAAGACAGAACCACATGAGATGACTGATGCACAAATGATAGTAAAAAAAAATTTTGCTGGTGGAAGTTGCTATTTGCTATGCTAATTTACTTAATGTAGGAACAGATATTATTAATATGCTAACAAATATAGTGATCGTGCATGCAGAATTGAGACAGAACTAGAGATGACTGACACACCGCTCTTAATAACCCATTATACATCAATTGGAGCCAATATAACGTGTTTCGCAACGTTTCCGGATGAAAAAATTAAA